GGGGTTGTACCTTTCCTTCTGGAATATACATGGCAGCCACCTCCACCCAGTCTTTGACAATCCTGAAGGGTATAGCCCATTCCAGATGGGTCAACACTGAGTCAGACCTTAATCCCAGAATGCCCCTCTCCTCTCCTCACTCCTGTTTGCTCGCCTCTCCCTTCCCAGGTGACTGTCTTTAGTGACCATCATGTTCTAGAGAACCAAACAGCAGCAATCCTGTACTCTCTCCTTAAGATTTCACGTGTATGTGCGGATAGACTCAAATGCTTATGTGTCCATATAGGATGCTTGTTTCCAGGCCATACCTTCCTCAGAAGAGCACAGAACAAGCTTTCAGTTCAGGATCTTTGGTTGCTTAGGAAGGCGGTAGAGCTGAAAGGGTAAAGGCATCCATTTGGAGTCAAATATGACTTGGAATCATAACCTACCCTCATTTATGAGAGTTGAATTTGATCGTTTCAATGAAAACCTTCAACTGTGTGTGGCCCACTGTAAACCTTCAATAATTGGCAGCTACTATTATTGCCTTCCCAAGTTTCCAAGTCTCAAGTCTAGGCCACACATGCCCTCAGGCTAGCTCTGCCTCTTACAGTCGCTTCCCTCCTTCCTCTCGGCTCATCTGAAAGTGAGAATTCAGCCTCACCATCACCTTGCTTCGGCTTGCATTCTCTAACCCCTGGGCTGTCACGATAGCGTTCAGAAAAGTTTCTTGCCTCTAGGACTGGATTCTCCTTCAATCCTTCCTTGACTTTCTCCAGAAAGTCTAAAATGTAAATACGATCTCTCTGCAGAAACCTCAAACAACTTCCACTTCCGGCAAAGACCGTCACTGGTATGAACCGTGGCAGCCACTGAGCAGCCAGCCCTGCTTTCTCCCACGTCCAAAACTTGCTGTGCCCTGTGCTGTTTGGTGCCTCCCTGTTTTTGAACGCCAGTCTCTGAGTCTTCCCTCTCCACTCTACATCCTCAGACCTTCTTGGAAAATTTCTATTTATCTTTCAAGTTCCTTGCTGTGAACTGAATTCTTGTGTCCTTCCAAATTCTACACGTTGAGCATGGACCACCCCCTCCCCCTAAAAGTAAGCATATTGAAGTGGGGCCATTGGAAATAGACCGAGATACACAACAGAGGCACAGCCTCGGTGATGGAAGTTCGGCCTTTATGAGAAGACAAGATTTCTCTTTGCCCCATTCTGTCTTTCTACCATGAAAGGAAGACAGGAGAAAACAGCCGTGTGCAAACCAGGAAGAGAGCCCTTATTTGATATCTGCCAGCTTCTAGAAGTTAGCCTTCCCAGCCTCAAGAATTACAGCAAAGAAACTTTGTTTAAGCCATCCTGGTTGTGTGCTTTTGTTACAGCAGCCCACCCTGACTAGGACACTCTGCCCAGTAACTTTTCCCAGTGGTCCTCACCTTTCCTTGTCAATGGCAAATAGTATTTGGCATTACTTTCATTAATGTAAAAAAAAAAAAATCTTGCATCTTTCCCAAGTTATACGTATTCAGTTCTTTATTTCCGTAATTTCTATTTTTTCAAGGTTCTGTCTCTGAAGTTTTTCATTCACATTTGAAAGCGTTTCTCTAATTTTGCCCAACTGTCTGCAATCCTGTAACTCTCACTAATTTCATTCAGCATCTCTTAAATGGTTTATTAGACACTTTGTCAAATTGTTTTCTTTGGGAACTGTTGCCAGCTCACTATTGTGTTCCATCGTAGGCATCATGTTACCTTACACTCTGTGATTAACACATTCTTATAATCCTATATTATGATTTCCACATCTGGTAGATCCATTTTCTCTATACTTTTATAATAAATGGCTGGTGTGCCATACTGGTTTTGGTTCCAGCTGAGTACCATAGCTGTACTGGATAGTTTTATGCCAACTTAACACAACTATAGTCATTTGAGAGGAGGGAACCTCAATTGAGAAAATGCCTCCATAAGATCTGTCTGTAGGGCAATTTCTTAATTAGTGATTGATGGGTGAGGGCCTAGCCCATTGTGGGTGGTGCCATCCCTGGGCTGGTAGTCCTGGTGTCTATATGGCTGATTAAGCCATGAGGAGCAAGTCAGTAAGCAGTGCCTCTTCATGGCCTCTGCATCAGCTCCTGCCTCCAGGATCCTGCCCTGCTAGAGTTCCTGTGAGATGGAAGTGTAATCCAAGTAAACCCTTTCCTCCCCAACATGTGTTTTGGTCATGGCGCTTCTCTCAACAATAGAAACCCTAAGACAACAGTGTAATCTATAGATTGTTTTGGTTTTGGCAGCAGGATCAGGGGGAGCCACTGTCTCTTGGGCCCATGTGGCAGTAGGGACGCTCTCGTAGCCCTGGCACATAGGATGCACACAGCAATGAGGATGGGGTGCCCACTGTGTGCCCACTCCAGTAATGAGGACCCAGGCCATAGGAACAGAATAGGAATGTTCTCAGTCATACCATGTAGGCTTGAGTACTGGGGTCACAGTTGGTCATCAGGGTTCAGCAGGGTTCATGATTCTAGAATCTCTGTGACAGTGTAGTAGAACATTTGTAGAGCCCAAGGATGGGGATATACAGGGGGTTCTGACCCCCAGGACAGTGTGAATTTGGATAGTAGCTTCCTTCTCAGGATTATGGTAAGTATAGCATCCTGGCTTTTCAGGGTTGCGGCAGGGATATGTGAGAGGCCGACACAAAGCCACTGAGAAGACTCCATGAAGGTTTTTTTTTTTTTTTTTTTTTTTTTAACTGTGCTGGGACTGTGATGACTGTGGAACTTTCCAGGCCCTGGCTTGCTGGTGCCTGCCTGACACAGCTTGCTAAAACGCCCTATCCACCTTCTCCACTGCAAAATTGAGCCCTCTGCAGATGGTGAGTCTGGTGGAGGCTGCCGGTGTACTTCATCCCTCATCCTCTGCTGCCATCCTACACCTTTGAGTCTGATAAGGTCCCAGCTTCTCCCGTTCTGAAGACTAGCTTCTTTCTTCAGTCATCTACCCCAAGACATTCTTCTTTGTGAAGAATCCAAGCCCTTGACACCTCTAAATGACCGCCATTTACCAGCTTCTAGAGTATTCCAAGACACTCAACACCCACAGGTCACAGGGTGACAGGTGCGTGGACAGAGCCACTTTACTGTTCCCAAAGCAGGGAAGCTAGAGCTGAAGATGTATCCTGAGCTGGGTTGATCAGGGCAAGGCAGACCTGCAAGACATCTGTGTCCATGTCTCCGTGTCGCTCTGTGAGTTTTCATAGGTGTGCACGCATGCATGTGAAAGCCAGAGGAGATCAACCTCTGATGTCATTCCCCGGGTGCAGTCCATCTTGTGTTTTAAGACAAGGATTCTCATTGGCCTGGCACTCACCAATTAGGCTGGCCCTTAGAATCCACCCGCCTCTGCCTCCCCAGTGCTAGGGTAACAAGTGTGCACCACCACATCTGGCTTTTTATGTGGCTTCTGGGAAACAAATTCAGGTCCCCATGCTTGCAAGGAACTAAGTCATCACACCCAAACCCCAGATTGACTTTGGTGTTCACTGATTTTTTTCTTTCAGTTGTTTTCAGTAATAAACACCAAGTGGTCAGCAATGGTCACCCAAAGGATGTGAACACATGACACAGTGATTGGCCATTAAACTTAAGGAAGAGGTTCTTTGAAAAACTCAAAGCTGTCTCTTATATAGGGCTTGCCAGTTACCATGGCCCATTCCAAGTCACTAGCTCGATGTCATCAAATACTGAATGAGGAAGAAGGGGAGGTGTGTGCATTGATACTGACTCCTGAGGAGGTGTCTCCAGGATCCATCAAACCACTCTGTAGATAACTAACATCCAGTAGGAAGTGAGTATTGGCTGATCTTTCAATTGGTAGATCTGGGGGTAGGTAGCTCTATGTTATTATGGCTTTTGTTTTCTTGGTAAACCTTGTAACTTACAAGATTTAAAACTTCAAAAGCCCATGAGCACCATAAACCTTCCAGGAGACACCTTAAAAAGTAAGTGAAACCTCCTGGATCCCATAGCCACTCTCGGGACCCACCTTATATCCACTTATATCTTATCCACTTATATGTCCACTGACTGTCCTTGTCTTCACTGGCCATTTGTCCCTCAAGATAATCCTTCTCCCTGAATCACCGCCACTTTTGTATTCAGGAGTTAAAAAACAGGACTCCCACACTTTCTCAATACTATTCTTACTAGAAACACCAGGAAACTTGGCACCTAACTTAAATTCTTCTCTGGTTCCTCTACCCACCTCCCAACACTACCCCCTCCCTTCCCCCGCCACAGGGTACTCCTTGCAAATTACTACGCACTAAATTGCCTCCCCTAAAATTTATATGTGGAAGCCCTAATCTTCAATGTAACTTTATTTGAAATAGAGCCTTTAAAGAGATAATTAAGGTTAAGTGAGCTTGTAAGAGATGCAGCACCAGTGTCCTTAGGGGGAAAAAGATACGTAGGAGGTGCACAGATTGGGAAGGCCACCCAAGGACACGACTAGAAGGCTGCCATCTGCAAGCCAAGTCCCCAGAGGAAGTGATGCTCCTGGCAACTCAAGCTTGCACTTGGAGATTTGAAAACTGTTATAAATTTCTGTTGTTTAAACCATCCAGCCACGGCATTTTGTTACGGCATCCGGAGGAGAGTCATATACAAACGGATGTAGAATAGTCTCCAGTGTTTCCCAATTCTTCTCGGTAAATGCACAAACTAGTTATGACCCTAGTAAAGCCCCCCCCACTCCCCACCCCCACCCCCACGCACTTATGTGGCTGCATTTGCAAGCTCAAAGTTGCTCTGCTCTGACATTGTCTGTACTTAAAGGTCACCAAGAAGGTTAATGTTGGACAAGCTGCAGAATAGTATAACTCGGTCTGAAATAAAAATAATGAATGTCAGTTTTGTTTTAAGATATTTATTCATTTTGGAAACTTTCATCAATAGCATAACATGTTCTTTTCACGTATTGTATTAGATTAAATGTAATAAAAAATTAACAAGAACTTGCAAAGTTTGTTGAAGTAACCCTGGTGTTTCCCATAACTCTCTGCTTACTTCTAACCTGCTTCTGAGGATGCATGAAGGACGAACTTAACTAAATTGCAAAGTTGTTTCTCTCCAGCGTAAACAGCTAAAGAATGAGTAGGACTCTGTTTTCAATGGTGAGTATTATTTGGCCCAAGCAGACATTACAGAGCACCGTCTGACTAACTGTAGATCTGATCAACACAGTTCCACGTGCCAAACCCCCTAGTCGCTTCCATGAAGTTGCAGTAAACCCAGATCTCTGGCCACCACCTGAAATCACACAGGCAGCCAGTCTCGGGAGAACTGTGCCTAGACTGGTTCGTAATTAAACCGTTGTTGGTGGCTAAGAAAGCGCTGGCGAGTTTGTGGTAGGAGTTAGGTAACAGGCTTGCTCCGGTTTTCAGATCACCTTGACTGGGCATTTCCAGCCTGCTTCCTGCTGCCTCTGGTTCTCCAGCCTCCTGCTACACAGAAGAGCTTTCTGGAACAGAAATCCAAAGTGGTTGCCTGGCGTCTCCACCGCTGGTGCTGACTCGGGTCCCATGAGTGTGTCTTAAAACTAATAAACACGTCAGAGTCTAGGAACAGTCAAGACCACCAAAGAGGAACAACAAATGACTTACGGAGAGACGAAAGTACGTTCTATCTCATGGGCAACTCAGAGAATGATGTGTGGACTAGTATTTTGTCACTGTGACAAGTCTCTGAAAAAAAAAAAAAAAAAAAAAAACAAGCAAAAGGAGCATTTAAGCCTCTAAAAACCAAAGGTTCAAAAGTCCTGGTTTCAGAGGCCTCACGACCCAGCCAGCTCCCTGACTGTCAGCTTGAGGCAAGGTGAACATTAGGCAGCTCATCTCCTGGCCCACAGGAAGGAAGGAATGAGCTAGGAAAAGGCCAGGGACAAAGTATATTTTTCTGGGATAGGCCTCCAGTGATCCACTTCCCTCCGGGGGCCCACCTCCTTGCTTTCCGCCATCTCAGGAATACCACCGTATCGTGAATCTATCCTGGAGTTAGTTTCTTGGCTAAGCCAGAGCCCTCATTTCAATCACTTCATGTGGCTGAGAATGGAACTCAGTAGTAGACCTCCTTCCTGGTATGTACAAAGTCCTGAAGTTGTTTCCCAGCAACACATACACACACGCACGCACGCACGCACGCACGCACGCACGCACGCACACAGAGGAAAAGAAAAGTAACTGTCTCTCAGTGGTTGAATCTACTGTGGTTTGAATAAGAATGGCCCCCATAGACTCATATATTTGAATTCTTAGGGCGTGGCTTTAGGAGGTGTGGCCTTGTTGGAGTAGATGTGACCTTGTTAGAGGATGTGTGTCACTGGGGGTGGGTTTTGGGGTTTCAGAAGCTCAAACCTGGCCCAGTGTGACTCTCTCTTCATGCAGCCTACTGATCCAGATGTAGAACCCTCAGCTACCTCTCCAGCACCATGTCTGCCTGTGTGCCACCATGCTTCCCATCGTGATGATAATGGGCTAAACCTCTGAACCATAAACCAGCCCCAATTAAATGTTTTCCTTTATAAGAGTTGCTGTGTTAGATGCAAGATTGTGAAACATCAGTAGTGAACTTCTGCCCTCCGGGGTCCTCCCATTGTGCTGTAAGCCTGTATTTAAGACCACCTACCCCCTTCAAGAAATGACATTCGACATTTAAAATTGAATATATATATATATATATACATATATATATTCAATTATATATATATATAACTGAATAAATACTGCGAATGTAATCTATGAATACCACAAATGTGATTAATATCATGAGTGTAATTTTTAAAATTAATTAATTAATTTAAAAGAAAAAAGAAAAAAAAAGAGTTGCTGTGGCCATGATGTCTCATCATAGCAATAAAATCCTAACTAAGATACCTACCAACTCAGCCAGGACAAAACTTTTAGTATTGAGCTTCCCAGGTAGTCGATTCATATCCAAACTATAACAGCATGTTAAAAAGTAGTATTTACCACTTGCCTAGCTGACACATTTAATAAAACAATGGATATTTAACATAACGCTCTTGGGATAATACTGATAATACTGGGGAACAGTTTGGAAACGTGTGTTAGAAACCTTAAAATTGCTCATGTGTTTTTCACTTCCAGCCAAGATGGAGTAAAAGGCATTCAATTTCTTCTCCGTCATGAAATTACTGAAAAGAAGTCAAAGTCCACATATGTCTAACAAAGAGGTTCATAGAACTCAATCTCAGTCAGTGACATTACAATAATCCCTGAAAGACAGGAAGCACATTAAGTAAGCCCTATGATCTCTGAGCTACCTTAAGAACACCCAATCATCCTACAGTGAGTGGTGGGCCCAGAAGGACTCTGGAAGCTTCCCAGAGTTGAACAGAGGAAGACGTATACATACCCATGGAGACCACAGAAACTGGAATTCCCAGATCAAAGTTCTGGACAGACAAAAGCTTTATGGAGGATCCTTCACCATTACCATTTGACAAAAGGACGTGCAGAAACATCCAAAGACTCTGGAAAGAACCATTTGATGGGACTAGAGTTCAAAATGCCTGGCACTCATGATCCATAGGATGTGTTCCCATGATAAACAAGGAAAATGTCATAATTCACAGGCACACCAAAGAATCTTGTCTCAATAGAAGGAAATATGCCTCAGAATAAGTACTATTCCAGGCTGGTTTACATATACATATATTATTTTTATTTTTTTAAGGAGCTTGAACAAAGGTATGTGTTGTTGTTTGTTTTTACTCTTTTGGAGGGCCTGCCACCCAGCTCCCAAACAAATCACACACGGAGGCTTATTCTTAATTATGAATACCCAGCCTTAGCTTGGCTTATTTTTCTGCCAGATTTCCTTAACTTAAATTATCCCATCTGTCTTTTGCCTCTGGGCTTTTCCCGTTCTCCTACTTCTGTAAATCTCACTCTTACTCCGCGGCTTGCTGGTTGTGTAGCTGGGTGGCTGGCCCCTGAGGTCCTTCCCTTCTCTGGGTCCTCTTCTCTTCTCTTCTCCTTCCAGATTTCTCTTTCTATATCTTCTCTCTGCCTGCCAGCCCCACCTCTCCTTTCTCCTGCCTCACTATTGGCCGTTCAGCTCTTTATTAGACCATCAGGTGTTTTAGACCAGCACAGTAACTCAGCTTCCCAGAGTTAAACAAATGCAACATAAACAAAAGTAACACACCTTCAAAATAATATTCAGACTGACCAGGAAACTCCTTCTCTGTTGGCTAGAGACATGGCTCTGGGATGTACCATGCAGGTTACTGGGTGGAAAAGATAGCAGTGGTACCATAATCCAGGGCAAAAGCCTAATAATGTCTGAGATATCCTAGGCTCTAGGGTGGAAGCTATTATTTTCATTTTGCTAAATGGTCATGTTGTCAAGTGGCCTTCTAAATATTGATGTTTATACCCATAGATTGACTGGGGCTGCCCCCAGCCTTGGTCAGGGAAGCTTCTTTTCATTGTGGGAAGCAATCTGTATCACGGCACTTGTATGGATGTGTTTAGGGCCGACCATTTGATATTGGATAAGCAGTTGGTGAGTTCCTCTCTAAGGAAGACTCTCCCTCTCTCTGCATCCCTTAATTGCCTGTAGTTCTTTGTGGAGGGTTGAGGCTTTATGGTCCTTCCCCCACCAACCTTAGCGTATCAAATACTGTCATCCTTGTTCAGCAGCCACACAGGGGAGCCATACACTCTATGGGTGTAGCTTCTGACATTCCTAGGAGACACAATCTCACAGCAAACTCCATGATCCTCCAGCTCTAACAATCTTTCTGTCCTGAGTCTTAGATGTGGGAGCTGTATGAGATGTGTATCAGTTGGGACTGGGCTCCGCAACTCTGCATTTTGGTTGCTTGTTTACCATCAAATCTTACCTGAAAGAAATACTGAAGAAGAAATGATGTGAGATATGAGTTTGCACAAATGAAGTAAGAACACTCAAACAGGAAATTACAATGGCTAAGTAAATAAATAATAAGTAAAAAGTTGTTGTTCTTAAATGCATTGCCCAGTGTTCGAACCCTGGCTGTGACAAAATGCCAGTTTAAAATCAGCTAAAAAGCAGGAAGGTTTATTTTCCACTCACAGTTGCCAGAGATTTCACTCCATGGCTACTTTTTATTACATCTTTTATTTTGGTGGTACGATGTATCACAGCAAGACTACTCAGCAGAGGAGTCCTGGTTAGTTCATGGTGGCCAAGAGGCAGAGAAGGAGCGAGAGGTCATAGTCCTAGTGTCAAGGACATACCACCAGTGACCAGACTTCTTTCCATCAGGCCCCTTGTTTAAAGATTTCATCATCTTCTAGCAGTGCCCTTGGTGGAAGACCAAGCTTCTAGCACACAAGCCTTTAGCAGATATTTAAGATCCAAGTCATTGGTAATTAAACATCCCTAAATAGTAATTCACTGCTTAAATAAAAATAGTAACAGTAAGGTTTGTGTTTTGAAATGGATGCACAAATAAATTGTATAACAACTATACCCCAAAGGCTGAGAGTTAAATGAAAGAGATTGTGAGATTTTTTTTTATAAAATTTGTGAAATCATACACTATCACCTGTAAAATAGAATGTGGTAAGTTGCAATATATTCTATGGTAAACACTTCAATAAGAAAACAAAAGAGTTATAACTGATAACTCATCAAAAGAGATAACATACAATCAACTTAAATTGGCAATTAATAAACAGAAGATACAAGAAGACAATGAGAAAACAAGCAAAGACATGCTGTGCTCACATTAGCCAAACAATGAGCAGGAATCAAGAAATTCAATGCAGAGTTTATACACTCACGTAAGACCTACAAGCTACATGAAGCACAAGTGGGTGGGGCCACAGGGAGATCTAAGCAAGTCCCCAGTTACAGTCAGAGACTGAGTATCCCATGCTCAATAATTAATGGAACAATTACAGAAAAAAAATCACAAGGGCACAGAACATTTTAACAATACTCTCTATCAAGTTGACATATTGATGTTTAATATAACCTTCTGCCTAGCAACAAACAGCCCTCTTTACAATTGTACTTGGGACATTTATCACTTGGGACATAAATCATAAAGGAGGCCTTCATAAACTTAAAATGATGCAAGCCACACCACATGTGTGCTCTGACTAGAGTGGAATTCAATTAGACGTTAACAGTGGATGGATGGACTCCGAGAAAACCTCACAGGTTTGCCTGCTAAATAGCACACTTCTAAATGTGAAGAGTGTGATTCATACAAACATACAATTAATTTGTATACTCACAAATAACACAATTAGAAGTTGTTTTGAACTAAGTGATACTAAATATAGAGCTTTAAAAACATGTACTAATGCCCTGCTAGGATAACCTCACAGCACTAGATGCCTTCATCAGGCAAGAAGAAAGTTCTTTAATCAGTGATTTTGGAGCTTCCATTAAGAAATTAGAAATGGAAGGGAAATAAAATCAAAACAACTAAAAAAAAAGGAAATATAAACTCAGAAAACACAATCCTATCAAAATCCCATTGATTTTTTTAATTAACAAAGTAGATGTTGTATTTCCATGGAAATACCGAAGACTTCAAAGAATCCAGATCACTTTGAAGTAGAACCAGGCTGGAGGACAAGGACACCTCCACATCTCAAGACCTGTTAGAAAGCCACGGCACCCAGACCGTCCACAAACGGATGGCTGGTTTTGACAAAGATTC